TATACGATACCACAGGAGAACCAACCTACCGCACACCGTTAAATAATCCTAAAAGTGGGATCCTGCTGCTTTCCCGTTTAAACCTCCAATGGGTCTTTACTGCCTTTCTTCTTTCTTTTTTTTTTTTGAGGAAGATCGGCCCTGAGCTAACATCTGCCAATCCTCCTCTTTTTTTTCGCTGAGGAAGACTGGCCGTGGGCTAACATCCATGCCCATCTTCCTCAACTTTATATGGGACGCTGCCACAGCATGGCTTGCCAAGCGGTGCATCGGTGCGCGCCCAGGATCCGAACCGGCGAACCCCGGGCTGCCGCAGCAGAGTGCGAGCACTTAATCGCTTGCGCCACTGGGCCGGCCCCTTTACTGCCTTTCAATGAAGTACAGTCATGTGCCGTATAATGACGTTTCAGTCAACGATGGATTGCGTATATGACAGTGGTCCCATACATACCTACAACCTAGGTATGTATGGCTGTATGGTACTAATCTTAGCAGTATAGTAGGCTATACCAGCTAGGTTTGTGTAAGTACACTCTATGATCGCAGAACAACAAAATCGCCTAACGACAATTTCTCAGAATGTATCCCCGTCGTTAAGAGACGCATGACTATATGAGCTCCTCGGTGAGACAGCTCGTCTCAGATCATGTCCCCTGCCCCACACTATTTTTCTGGCTTTCATGGCTACAAACCTCTGTACACGCTCTTCTCTATTCTTGGAAAGCACTTTCCTTCCTCAAGTACACTGGTCATGACTTAATTCAGAAGTCACTCTGTTCCAAAGTTTTCTTGGACCAATCTGGGGGGGTTAAGAGAGCCCACGGCCCTCTGAAGACACCTGTCCTGCTAAAGCTCTTAGCTCAGTCAGTCACTTGATTACCTCCCTGCATCTCCCTGAAGAGGCTGAGATATGATTTCCATGAGGACAGGGACTGGGTTTTAGTGAGTTTTGTATCTCTCAATGTTCAGCACACAGTAGGTCCTTAAGTGACCCCTGCACAATGAAGCAGTTATGGGGACCAGTTTACGAAGGTGGTGAGCCCCAGCAGTTCCCAGCTGAGGCTGTTCAGTTGAGTGGGTGGTCTCCCAGCCTCTCTTAGACCCTCCTCACTTTCCATCTCCTTCTCTTTCTTGCTATCAGTATAGTTCACTAGAGTATTCCAAAGACCTCTCTATTCATAGGCTTCTCCAAAGTGAGCAGTCTTTAGAGGTCCAAAGACAAAATGGTTTGGAGATACCACAGAAGAAAGGAAACATTTCTGGCCATTTTTTCTCAGAAGGGCTCTTTCAAGGAAATGTGTCCCCTAAGATAAGAACCCAGACGAGAGATACAACCTCTGTAGATAATACAAATGACACCAGTAGTGCAGCTCAAATAATACCATCTACCCACAGCCTTTGCCCAAATCCCTAGATATTTCTAAGGCATTCTAACAGCCAGAGCTCTCTCTAGTTCTGTCTTTTCAAAGCAGTGATTCTCAAAGTGTGGGGCTTGGACTAGGGGCACCCTGCGTCACCTGGGAACTTGTTAGAAATGCAAATTCTCAGGCCCCACTTCAGACTTACTGAATCAGAAACTCTGGGGGCAGGGCCCTAGAATCTGAGTTTTATCAAGCCCTCTAGGTGATTCTTATGTGTACTAAAGTTTGAGAACCACTGTTTCAGACTTTGGTGAGACCACCGGTACAGCCTCATACAATGCCCTAAGATTTACATACAACGCCCTAAGATTTACATACAACGCCCTAAGATTTAAAGTACAAACTCATAAAAGGAAGATGGAACATGGGTTCATAAGGATCTCAGTCTGTCCTTCTAGGCAGTACTATCTAAATCACCTTTCTGCAAGGAGGGACACGTTCTGTATCTGCGCTACCAGCCACAGTCAGCATTTGAAATATGGCTACTGAGACTGAATTTTTAAGTTTATTTAGCTTAAATTTAAATTTAAATAGCCACATGTGGCTAGTGGCTGCCTTGTTGGACAATGTAGTTCCAGAAGGTGACAAAACGATATAAAATCATATGCAACCTAGTTCCTAAAATCCAGCAATGAAAATCTTTAAACTACATTCTCTCAGATTCTGCCTTATTTTATTGTATTGCTTCCTCCTGTATAGTCCATAACATTATATGGACAGTTATGATTATAACTGTCCATACAATTGTCCATATAATGTATAATTATATATACTGCACATAGCTGATGATTAATAAATATTTGGCAGTTGTCCTCAGATTAACCTATTTTTGTCATCTGTAAAATGGAAGGTACTGATTCACTGATTCATTCATTCAAAGATTTACTGCTTATCTCAAGTTTGCTCTATCAAATTAATGTTTTGAAACTTTTTCTGAAGCAGTTTTTAAACTTTAATGATGTAAAGTAGCATCATTCTTCCTGTATAAACTTGACAAGGTTTTAGGTATATGATTTGATCTGAGGTAAAGTAGAATTCTGGGGGCAGAAAACCATGTCGTTACTGCATGCCCTGCAATGCATCTCTAAGATTTAAAGAAAAAAGTATATAACAGAAGTCAATCTCGAAAACAGGCAGAGGAACTTCTTTTGGTGATTACACAAATCTTTCATACTGCTCTGCTCTATACAGGGTCAGTTCAGGTAGACGATGGCTCTCATTTTTCAAGATAAACATGCATTTTCATCCTGCTACCTAAAACAAGGTATAGCCTGACCATTAGCTGTTCCTCATATATGAGTTTGTATACAAATGATTATATTTGAATTACAGAAAGACTATACCCCAAATTTTTTTAAAAAATTTTATTTAAAATAAGCCTACTAGCAGTTTACCAAATCCAGACTGTCCCTGAACAAATAAGGGCTCCTGCCTGGATGTGTACTTCTAAGAGAGAGGACTTTTGCAAAGCTCTTTCTCTGTCTGGGGATGCAACTCTAGCCAATGTATGCTGAGGCCACATCCTTCACCAGGAAACTGCCTGCCAGTACGACAAAGGCCTCTAGCCCTCAGCAAGAACCTGGGTGCTAGGACCCTGCACAGCACAGGCGCCCAAGCTCTCCATGGCCCTGGCGGGACTGCCCTCGCCTCTCTCCAGTGACACCTCTCCCTGGAGCTGGAACACTTGGCCCTGACCCTGGCCTGTCTGATTTCCCAGACAGAAAAGATAGTTTTTGGTGCCTTGTTCCTTTATGCCAGGTTTGAGGAGCCACGATAAGGTTCTGGTACTTCTGGCAGAATATGGGGCTGTCTCCATCAGACAGGCAGGTGGCCTGGAGCAGGGCATCTAAGAGCTGAAGCAGCACTACACTGCTGTGGGTGGGAGGGCACCACATGATGCGGAGTCTGGGAGTTACTTTCTTTCATGGTCTCCACCTTGAATGTCTGGTCAATCACCAGAAAGGTTTGAAGGAGTACAGGAAGGGACAGGATTACGGGAGAGAGGGAGTTTGGGTCAAGTCAAGGTTGAAGTTCCAGGCAGAACTGAGGAGGAATCTGACTAGGAATTTGGTGGTATGAAGGTGTGCTCTGTCAATTTAAATTGTCACCCAGGGGGAAAACTCAGGCATCATCTAGTCCGGGGAGGCCAAACCATGCTGTCCACCCCTCCCCTCCCCCCTCACTTAAGACAGACATCACTAACGGACCCCAGCATTCCTTGCCACCAAGCCTGGAAGCACCTCACAGTCTGCAAAACAACAGCCAGGTAACAATGACGAACTGCTCAAAGTTTACAAACCAAGAAAATCTCATGACCTTTCTTGATCTGTATTAATCCACTCCTGTATGAATGAGGAGTACTTAATAATAACTCATTTAATCCTCACAACTCCTTGAGAAGGGACCGTTACTAGCCCCATGAGGGAGACGAGGAGGGAGGAGCATAAAGAGGCCAGGTACAGTTCCAAAGGGTACCCAGCCAAGGAGCAGCGGAGCCGGCCCCACACCCGGCCCCGCTGCAGAGTCCTCGCCCTCCCCACTGCGCTGCCACTGCCCCCCATCGAGAGATCCTGGGTTAGGTTTATCACAGAGCAAACAGGCACACATGTTTCAGAACATTATACTTGTAGATTCACAAAACTCCAGCATTTACAGGATATTAAAACCGTTCTAAGAGACAATCATGGCAAAGGTGTAATTGCTTTTGTAAGCTTGCCAAATTGGAGTGTAAGAGCTTTTATGAAAAGTTTCAGAAATGCGGCTTATAGGGCAACGGTTTATGGTCAACTGCCTTTTGATCTCGCATGTGAAAAATATGTACTTACATATATTGCAGGCAACCTCACCACTTCCTTCCTAAGTGTCGGTCAAAAACACTAATTACTTGACTAATGAGACTGTGAAACTTCCCTTACAGATGGTAAAAACGAGTGATTTTCACCCCACATATTTAGTTGTGATACACCACTAAAAAAAAAATGTAGAAACGTTTCAATGGTTTTATTGTAGACAGCATGAACACTTCAAGCAAATCATATAAAAATAAATTAGAAACTAATGAAAATTGTCTGTTCTCTGATATGGGGGAAAATAAGTGGGTTCTGTGGGCGTGAAGAGCTAACACGGGAGGCTGCCGACCAGGGACCATCCCCTCTGACGGGAGATGGAGGCCCAGTACCAGACACTTTCTCCGTGACGTGGGGTGTCTCAGATGAATCATCAGTCCTAATTTCTAACTCGAGTTGGGATTTTTAGGTACTTTCTTCTCACTCTCCCTGTGGTCACAGGTGGAGGCGGCACTGCTTCCTTTGTGTTCTCTCAGACACTGCCCACACGGGGAAGCGTATGTTCACCTGGAAGCAGGATGATGCGGTCTCCCTTTAGCTCCACATTCACAATATCTCAGACTGCCGCAGCAGCACATTTGCCAAAAGAATCAGCACTGAATACAAAGGAACCTAATACCAAGCACTGCAGCTCAGGGCAGGAAGGGCACCCGAGAGCCACCGAGCTCTTGGTTTTGGCAGCTACACCACGGTCAGTTGAGAGAAGCTGCGACCTGACACGTGAGACACTCACCAGCATCGAGGCAGCCGGTCGCTGCCGTCCAGCCCATGACTGGTGGGATGGCCCCAACCACGGCTCCGACCCACGTGTTGGCAATGCTGATCCTCTTCAACGGGGTATAACAGCAGGTATACAGGAAAATGTTGAAGACCCCCAGGGCTCCCGTGAGCGGATTCACACCCCAGGTCAGAAGGGCAACTCCTGGAAGCGCACAGCAGGTGGCAAAGGACACAGCGAGCAACGGGCTGGAAAAGAGCAGAGGACACAGAGCAATCATTCTCGACTCCAGGCGACCACGCTGCGTGGAGACAGAGCTGACAGAGCACCCATCTACCTACACATACAGTGAAGCCACCTGGGAGGAGGCAGTGCTGGCGGTTTGCCTTCTTCCCTGTTAGGGGGCATCCTCTTTACGAAACTAAAAATAAGGAGGGATTGTTTGGCAGGAGCTCCAGCTGCTCCTTTTGGTTCTGCCGGCAGGGACCAAAGATGTCAAGAGAGTCGAGGTTAGAGCGCCCTGGATTTGAAATCAGGTTCTGTCCCCTCCTGGCTGTGGGGTGTCTGGGCCTCACTTTACTCATTGGTACAGGAGAGATGACTGTCTCTTCCTCGCAGGCCGACGTAAGGACTAACTGAGACGGTGCCTGCTTTACCCAGGGTTCATTTTACACTTACTGTGAAGAAGTAAGTGACAGCTACGGATAAACCACTTGGAACACAATAGTGTAAGCTATGGGCAAAAAATAGTGTCTTAATTCTGGAAGCAATTCTACCCATTTATTTATACGTTATTTAAAAACATCACCCACTTAGCAAGAATGGATAACAGTAGTATGCCTGCATCCATCTATCTGGCATAAAGTACAGGCTCAGCGTGGTGCCAGCTCTGCACCAACAGTACAGCACAGGTGGCTATCCCGCAGAGACACCACACTCTCAGTTCAGTTCCAGTGCTGTAGCTTGGGGTGTGGACATGGGATTTTCAAAAGGAGGTTTATTTCAAAATAAAACTGTAATGATGATTATAAGCCCGATTCTCAACAGAGCCCACTTTTTAAAGCAGACTGCATGGAATCTTGTGAAAGACTTTTTGCAAGTGTAGATAAATTGGATCTACTAGTTCCTGATTATATGCATGTTCATTTATTCTTTCTTAAGAAACCTAAGAAGGTTCCTCAAGCATGCCTTCTCCTTTTAGAGGTCATAATCCCACCTCTGGGGAAACTGCATAGTGTTCAGTGATGGCACTCAATCAGAGATTGCACACCAGGCTCAGTGGGAAGCAGGAGTCCCCAGTGTGCAGCTTCTAGGTGGCTCTGGGTTAGCAGCAGCCAGTTCCCCGAGGGAGGCGATCTTTACGTGGTACACATGTAAGATAACATGCTTCTACTCACAGGGCTGCAGTGTTCCCATGGCAAGAGAGAAGCCCTGTGCCTGCGAGTCTGCCACTTTAGGAAAAGGACTAACTTGTAGAATTATGACAAGTTAGAACTCAGACAGGAGGGGGCGTTGGGGGAACAGGAGGGCCCACCAGCCGAAAATACTGAGAGAATCAGGGCGATAGAACCTGAGAGCTGGAAGTGACTTGTTGGAGAATTCCAACTCTGATCTGGTGACCAGCACTGACTCTCCTCCCAGGCCTGTGACCACACTGCCCCGGAGACGGAACCCAACAGAGTGGTAGTTTTGATGGAAAAAGAGAACATACAAGGGATACGTTGTTGTCAAGGTGCTTATGACAGAAGAACTGGGAGACTTCTTGGTGCACGGTCAGCCCTGAGGGTGAATTTCCATCCCATTTCCTAGCTGCCTCTTCTGAATCCTGCGGTCAATTACTTCCACAACACTTAACTCCAGCACCCTCAATTTTTATTCTGCCTTGTCCTCTCCTCCTTCCCCACCCCGACGATTCCCACTCTGAATCTGCTCCTGCTGGAGAAAGCCCTACAGTCCCCAGAACTGGCCCTGTGCCGAGAGGACGGCTTAACAGCGCTGGTGCTTGGCTGGAGGCACCTTCCTCTCCCAGTCCTTGGAGTGACTGTTGTAACTCTCTCCCACCTTCTCAAGGCTCCAGATTTACTCTAGCCTTTCCTCTTACATGACAGTGGCAAATGCCTCATCTTTACTTCCTGATCTTTCTCCCATTTGGGGGGAAGAGGCCATTTTCTCCGTTTTTAAAGGTAAACTCTCCATTTTTGCTTTTCTTTACTCTCCTCCCCAATCAGTCCTTTATCTTCTATCTCCACTGACTATTGACCTCCTTGGTCCTCAAATCACTTACTTGGTTCATCTTTCCCCCAAGGTTCTTACTAGGCCTTCTTCAAACTGAAGCATCTTGATGGCATAACTACATACGTTGTCTCTATTTGCTCCATCCCTCAATTTCCTATTTGCTCCCCAACTCTACCCCTCACCACCTACTGACACAGATTTCTCTCAGGTAGTGATAAGCACCATGTGACCTGGGACCACCTGGCTTCCCAATATAGCATACGATATAATTTTCCAGGTGAAAGATTAGGAAGATGCTCCTGTGTTGTCACATCTCACATATGCCCAGAAAGAAGAATTTAGATGGCTGGAAAGCAGCGCAAATATTATAACTGTCATTCTTTTTTCAGTAAGGTAGTTTATAGCTTATAAGAACAGATTTTTTTTTCCTATGGGACTCTAAAAAGCTAGTTTTATTTTGGGTGGGAGAAAAATGTGGCTCATAAACATCTTTATTTTTCCTGAATTGGACTTCATGTAAAAAAAAAAAAAGGAGGTGTTCACTCCTTCTCCAAAGTCTGTGGAAGCCAGTTGGATTCAAAGGTATTAGTGTTATGAAAAGCCCTTTAGAAAAGCACACATGAATTTAATTTATTGAGATAGACAATTTTATGTGGAAGTTTAGTTTCTGACCTTGTTGGAATCATAGAAAATCATAAGGTTCAATTTTGGTGTTTGAATCAGTGTGCTCAGGGGCACAAATGAAAATTGGGTAAGTTGACAAGCCACGCAAAGAAAAATGAGAATATTTACCCAGGCAGCCGCGATCATGCTCAGCACCTAGATACCGCAAGGAACCCACTTCCCTCCTGGTACGAGGAGCCCTGGATCGGTGAACTTCAGGGCTTCCTCATGCTACAGGTAAAGGTGCTCCAATTGCAAACTCTGTGAAGTTTATTTTCCTGGGATGCTTTATTTTTCCTAAAACATATATTATAAAAGTAATATATGTTCATTTCAGAAAATTTGGAACTATAGAAAATGATAAAGAAGAAATTCTAAATTAGTTATTCAGTGAAACATATTGGTTTATATCTCTCTAGCCTTTTTCCAGTGATATATCTACTTAAAAATTAACTGAGAACATACTGAACTGTGGTTTTGTTACTTTATTTCAATATATCTTAATAATTTCCCTATGCCATTTAAGAATTCTTTTACATCATCATTATTAATAGCTACATAGCAGCCTATTCTGTGGACATACCACAATAAATTCAATCAAGATACCTTTTTTGGACACTTGGTATATTTCCATTTTTTTTTATTAGAAATAATGTTGCAATGAATATCTATAGACAGACCGTTGTTCACAGCTTCGATTTGGATAAATCCTGAGGATACATTCCTAGATGTGAGATTGCTAACTGAGATGCCACGCACATTTTTAGGGACTTTGACTTGTGCTGCCAGTCGGTACCCCAGAAGAGTTGATAGTAGTTTCACGCCCACCAGCAGCAGTGTATGAGAAAGCCTATCTCCAGAACCTGTACCAGCACTGGCATCGCATTAAAAATAAAGCAAAACAAAAATGAACAGAGTGAAACAAGTCTATTGAGACAGACAGTATTATCCTCATTTTACAGATGAGAAACTGAGACTCAATACAAGTAAAATAACTTGGAAACAGGACCTGTACTCAGGCTTATCTGTTGGCTCATTCACTTAATCCAGGAGCTCCCCAACTTGTATGTGGGGCACACTTGGCGTAATACAACTCACTCATCCTCTTATTTCTTGGATTTGCTGAGGGCCTGGCATGGCTGGAGTCTTTAGGCTGGTCCCCTTCAGCTGGGAGCTGCCTTCTATGGGTTTAAAGATTTTTTTTTTTTTTTTTTTTTTACCCCCCAAAGCCCCAGTAGATAGTTGTGTGTCATAGCTGCACATCCTTCTAGTTGCTGCATGTGGGACGTGGCCTCAGCATGGCCGGAGAAGCAGCGCGCCGGTGGGAGCCCGGGATCCGAACCCGGGTCGCCAGCAGTGGAGCGCGCTCACTTAACCACCAAGCCACGGGGCCGGCCCTTCTATGGGTTTAAAAGCCCCTTCAGTTTACCTCATTGTATCAGCTATGACATACAACTATCTACTGGGGCTTTGGGGAGAAAAAGGAAAAAAGGAGTAAGATTGGCAACAGATGTTAGCTCAGGGTCAATCTTCCTCAAAAAAAATCTGTGAGTGGTTCTCTCTAGAGTGGATTTATACAGAAAAGATCAGAAAAGCAGGTGAATGGGATGTGATGTTACCGCAAAAAAAATTCTAATTTTCAAAAACAGAATAAATGCATAAATAAGGAAAATAGCACTATTTGATGGGGGAAGATGGTGGCAGAAAAAAAATCTAGCAATTGTCTTGAACTAAAAAAATTCTTTTATATTCATTCACTCACTGATGCAAATAGGTGAGCCATGTTGAATGATGATTTATTTCCAAACTCATATCCAAAACTGAATTACATTTGAAATGGAGATATCTTTCTGCTGAGCATCAATGCATGGGATCTTTCTACTTCTGCCTTTCCCGCCTAAGGCTACCAAGGGGGGGGTGGTTGTCAGCATGTTTCTCTGAATTATTTATTCGTCCTTTAAAATACAATATTTCTTTGTTTTCTAAACATTAATCCTTAGTAGCTCTATCAAAGTGGAATTTTATATAGAAATTAGGAACAAATGAAAATATACAAGTTTTAATTTGATGCCTACTTATTGCACTTAATAAATGTAATTTAAATTACCTGACTTCTAAATAATTTACTGGAGAAATGTGGCCTTTCTGTTTAAGTAATGTGTCAGAGAGGTCTATGAAATGTTATATTAAATCCAGAAAGCTTTATATTTTAAGCACCTCTGCAGGTAATTTATACAAAAATTAATCTTATACTTCTTGGTCATTCTTCCAGAATAAATGATTTTTAAATTACAAAATAAAATTTCCTTTCTTCAAAAACAAAAGAAAACCCAAAACCTTAATCAAACCA